GCAAAATTTGTTAGTGTGGCTTCCTGTTAAATGCTTAACATAGTAAATTACTGATCACCAGTTAAAAGCTGTGTGGTTTTATTAACATTCAGGGATTTTATATAAAAAATATTTCTACTTTAGAGCTGTATTATTAGAAGTGCCATTTCTTAAAGTGGCACTGTCCCGGTCTGAGGGCTTTGCCGAATTCGCAAAGACCCACGATGATCCCTCAATCCCTCGCACTGGGTCGCGCCCCACATGCTCTGACGTCAGCTGATGGGAGACCTAATATGCATGCGTGGCGAGCACCTTGTGCGCATTAGGTCTTCATTATAGCAAAGCATTTTCCTTGACACTGGATGTCCTCATGCAAAATGCAAAGACGTTAAGCATCGTCAAACTCTGTGAAATTCCAGGCACCGCCTCTAGTGGCCTTCTGGGAGACTGCCAATAGAGGCAGTCTTAGTACTGAAATGTAAACATGGTAGTTTCTCTAAACTATCTAATGCACCCAGACCACTAAACTGACTAAGCTGACACTGCACCCAGAGCACTTCAATGAGATAAAATGGTCTTGGTGCCCAAAGTGCCCCTATAAAGCATTCTTCTGAATAAAATGCCTTAACGACAAACACATTTATTCAGAAATTCTTAATGAACCAAATTGTACAATAATACATGGAAAGGAGCATGGTTTTCGAAAATCGATTTTTTCTTAAAACTTATTTTTGGACATGTCTAATGAAACTAGTAGTATTAAATATTAAGTATAATTTTTTATCATATTTGTTCTACAGATATATATTTTAATTCCTCAACCAATTATGATAAGAGTGGAAGGAAGGGTCAGATAAATTCATTGAGAACGAGGTAGCTTGTGTGTGTATCTCTCCCATGCATGGGCAGCCTGTCCAAGGTGTCTGGGGTTAACATTCTGTGTGTTTTGTTAGTGCTGCATGTGTTGGTTCTTTACATCCACTTTTGGCATGGAATGTCCTGCTTATTTAGTCTTTCTGTTCTGCACAACTGCAGACTCTGCTCATGCTAGATAAGGAATTAAAATGGTGCACAGTCATTAACAGTCAAATGCTTGTTGCATGGAATGACACTGGTGCTTAAGGGGTTAAAGAGGAAAAAATGGAATACGGTAGAATCAGACTGTCCAGTTGCTACAAGAGTGCAGTTTGACCTTCAGGCCTATTTACCTGCTAACACAAATCTTCCTTCCATGGCATAATCTTTAAATTAGCCCTCTAATTTGCACAAAAGGTTTTAGATCCAATTACCTACAATGCTCAGCAACAACTGTATTTAGGCTGGGTAGTTAGAACATTGAGAAAGCTTTATTAAACATGTCCAGTGAAACATTGAATTACAACCTCTCTGCTTTACTGGAAGAGTACCCTTTTGTAAAATTAATTGTCCTGTTCATTTGGTAAAAGCACTCAGCCTTAAAGAGACTAATTCACCATACTATTAATTATATTTTACTGAGTGCCCTAATAGGAGATCTTTAATATAAACATAAACACATGAATATGCTATGCATATGAGCTCTGATTTAGTTAAAGCTATAGTAGCAATTTTGAATGGTTTTTAAAAAATAAATTTTACTACATAAACGTAAAGAGACCTAAATCACATATTTTTTCTCAAAAATGCCTTCACTGAAAGACAGAAAGCAGCCAGGGACCTCACACTAAAATAGATTGACAAATTGAATATATTTTACATCTGCGATAAGCATATTAGACCTTTCCTTTGGTGAATTTCTATGCCCCCCCAGCCCCCTAAAAAATACTTCTAGCTAAATTTGGTGAGGAATTAAAAGATTACAGAATCTGATGAACAAAAAGGGCATGAGACCAGGCCAACCAGCGACCTGGTAGTCATAATTGTTTGAACAATGTATGTAATAAATTTATGACTACCAGGAACAAGCTAAACATCTATGTAATAAATTTAAGTCCAAAAAATATGAGAAGAGCATATTAGATAGAGAAGTGAAAAGAGCTGGAGAATTGGATAGAAGGGATCTAATAAGAAATAAAAAAAGAGGTAAAGGAAATGGGGAAAAATTTAAATATGCTTTCATTACTCAGTATAACACCCAACATCGAAATATAAAAAATATTCTAAACAAACATTGGGGAATTTTGCTAAAAGACCCGATTTTAGGGGGAGTATAGAAACATAGAAACATAGAAACATAGAATGTGACAGCAGATAAGAACCATTCGGCCCATCTAGTCTGCCCAATTTTCTAAATACTTTTATTAGTCCCTGGCCTTATGTTATAGTTAGGATAGCCTTATGCCTATCCCACGCATGCTTAAACTCCTTTACTGTGTTAACCTCTACCACTTCAGCTGGAAGGCTATTCCATGCATCCACTACCCTCTCAGTAAAGTAATACTTCCTGATATTATTTTTAAACCTTTGTCCCTCTAATTTAAGACTATGTCCTCTTGTTGTGGTAGTTTTTCTTCTTTTAAATATAGTCTCCTCCTTTACTGTGTTGATTCCCTTTATATATTTAAATGTTTCTATCATATCCCCCCTGTCTCGTCTTTCCTCCAAGCTTACCACCCCTATGAAGCCACCTATGATTTTTAGAAAAGCAAAGAATCTAAAGAGCATATTGGCTCCAAGCTATGCTTTGAAAAATAAATATGAAAACACTAAAAGTGAAGCTAAAGGTTTTAGTTCAAGTAACCAATGCAAAGCTTGTATAACACAAAGACTTTTAAATGTAAAGAACTTTAAAAGCTCTGTTACTGGCAGAGAATTTAATATTAAAACTAATATCAATTGTAATAGCAAGAATGTTGTGTACTTGCTACATTGTCCCTGTGGGAAACAATAAGTGGGACGTACATGTAGAAAACTTAAAGAACGTATCTTAGAACATAAAAATAACATCCGAAAAAAATATGACAAACACTCAGTCCCCATGCATTGTAATTCATGTCCTAATTTGAGCTGGAAACATTTCCACTATGTAGGTTTGGAAAAAAATAATAATCATTGGAGGGGTGGTAATCTTATCAAAAAACTAGCACAGCGAGAAACGTATTGGATAAATGTATTGAAAACCTTACAACCAGGAGGATTAAATGTAGACATTGATCTGTGGTGCTTTTTGGAATAATCGCTCCTTCCTTTTCTGCTTTATACATTATGTATATTTTATTTATGTATATACATTTGCCTGTTTTTTCTACAATGATATTGAACAAGCCAAGAGAAAGTTCTTTTTTCTGTAAAATATAGCACCTAAAGGAGACAGGTATATTTTATTCAGTCTCTTAGGGGTATTGGGTATGTCCTAATTTATAATTTTTGATATGTATTTGTATAATTAAAAGGAGATATATATTTTTTCTATATTTTTATTTTAAAACATAAATTCTTTTAACTTTTTTAGCATTTTGTATAATGTTTTTTCATCCCTAATAGATCTAGTTCGAGCATCTTAGCTTGTACATATTATCCTATGCAGTGTGTCATTAAACAGAAACACATGCATTTAAGTATGTATCCATTTGTTTCATCTTGGATGGTGTGTGTGTATTTTTGTTTTTGTCAATAAAGTTTGTTTATGCTACTGTGGAATAGTAACTCCTTTTAACTATTTTGTTACTCCCCCTTGTATATACCCCATCCATATTTCCACCTAGAAACAGCTTTTTGTGGACTCTATGCAAAAATCTCAGCTTGCCACTATAATTGCTAATAAAAACGAATGTGGAACGCATATCTGGAACGCATGACATCATTGCGCATGTCACGTGATGACGTTGAGCGCCCAAAACCCGGAAGTGACTTGAATTGACCCAACAACAGCTGAAAGAAGACGTAACCACCTGTGGAATAACTATAGGGACTAATTGGGGGATGTATATAGGGAGGGGGGGGGGTTAGTATTGTATGCATTTGTATCCAGCATTTTGTAAAAGATTGTCCCTGAGGAAGTCCCTGACAGGTACGAAACGCGTTGGACTACTATTGAACATATTTTTCATCATCTGCTATTATTTACTTTGATGTAAGTAATAAATGCTGCCTTTTGTACTTTATCTACTTAGCTACTTCATTATTTTCTTGCATTTTTCTACCTTTTGTTTGAGATTATCATCTATTCAGCATTGAAGCAAGAAGACACACTCCAATATATTTCTGAAGGCACTTTATTTGATGTCAAAGTGTGAGTGATCACTTGGCACTTAATTTTATATCCAGTATTATTATACACAGTGTTGCACTATGTTATATTTTTGCTTCCCTAGCTGGAATAGCCTTATAATATACATGTGTTGAATTGAAGATAGGAGGAGATCTTCGGGAATATCCTATGCTATTGAGGGAAGTTGCTAATATTTATATTTTCCATTATAATCACATTTTGGGAGAAACAATGTTATTGCATGTGGACACCAGAAACACTTTTTGTAAATTTGTGAGTTTGTGAGAGATACTATTTTATCAAATTGACTGATGGACAGCAGCTGCTGACCAAGAATGTAGCTCCCACTAAACTATTATAATCCTGGTGGCATAATTAATATAATGATATTATTATCTGAACATTACAAAAGTTATAGTTTCATTATTTTTAGTCTGTTCAACTTGGAAACACTCAAACTTGTAGAAGATGTGTGTGATGAGGCCAGGAGATGCTCTATCAAAACTTGAGGTCTTGAGAAAAGTCAGTGTATGGAAACCTGAATGTTGACATTGGTTTGAATATGCAAATAAAAGCACATGTATTACTAAAAAGTCCAGTGACTATTTTCCTTGAAGATTGTATATTAAATGGCCAAATTAGCACTGTGGCATATGTTTATTGGAATATTCAAAGGGCCAGACACCTTGCAACTATATATCTATCTATATATAAACAATACTCAGTATGTCTGGCACTCATACTAAATAAACAAAGGATATAAGTGTGTATATATACCAAGGTGCTGCACAGCGCAGAAAATATATTCCAATACAAAACTGAGAGCAGTTAACAAAAAAAAAGTTCAGCAAAAAAGATCAATGCTTCGACCTTACGGTCTTTATCAAGACCTTGATAAAGATCGTAAGGTCGAAGCATTGATCTTTTTTGCTGAACTTTTTTTTGTTAAATGTTTTTTTATTTTTGTTCATAAAATGATGGCAGGTACATAGCAAGAATATGGTTAAATGCAGTGTTGCCTGCGCAGAGGCTCACTATGAAACATATGGATTAGTGTAAAGGGGCCTACGCAGAGGCCTAGCGTGGCTTTACAGCATATTATCAATCATTAACACTTCATGGGCATTCTGATGCAGAGCTGGTTACGTACGTTGTGGAGTGCATAGCGAAGCGATTCTTAACCATATGTAAGCAGTTTTCCCTGCAATGTAAATGCAGGCTTTAGATAACCTACCCCGTAGGGTGCATAAAAACTTGCGCAGAAACATAAATGTTAAATATCGTAATCAAAACAGGGTCAAATGCAATTACCAAACAGTCGCTTAATTTATTATCATGCATAGCTCATTTTTTTCTGTATATGCAGTACCTATGGACCATCTGCTTGAAATGGCAGCATATTTGTGTACAACGTGTGGTGCAGTAGCTAGGTAGTATTATATCTGCCGCATTCTGATGCATGGCTTGTAAGGGTTTGTCTCATCGGATTAGGGCTCGGTTGGTAGAGTATATATGTGTGTCTATGGGCTCCTGGGCCATCTTCTTAAACTGGCAGCACATTTGTGTAAAACGTGTGGCTAATTGGGAGGTTTACAATCATTAACCTTTTGTAATCAATTTTCCTGCAAAGTAATTGCAAACTTTCAATAACTTTACTCTGTAGGGTGCACTGTCACCCACACGGAAGCATAAACTTAAATAATAGAGGCATGACAGAAGCTATGACAGTTAACTAGCATACGATTAAATCATCATCAGGTATAATGCATTACATCTTTAAAGGCATTGTCCTATGTTTTACTGCGTAATCAAGTTATGTCTATCTAAGCATGCAGGTAAACTTTCAGCTGAATGAGTCCTATATGTTGTTGAGTTAGGATGGGTCATCCACATCGAGGACCTGCGGGCACCCCCTCCAGTCCGTCAGTGGGTAGATCCATGGTGCCGTGGGCCCTCGGTTGCTTGGGCAGTCCAGCAGATCCCCCCATGTAGAATCCGCAGGCCACCCATCCCCTGCACCTCCCTGGCTTCCTCAGATCCACCCCAGGGCCCCAGCCAGTCTATGCCTCATCTGGTTCTGCTCACATACTTGGCACCAGTGCACGCCCCCCGGCCATTGGTCTGTCAGGGGGGTCCGTGTCTTCCGGTCCCACAGGGCTCACTGAGACAGGGACAAAGTCCTCTGGATCACCACCAAGTCCAAAGGGTCTGGCCAGTTCTGCACTGACACACCGGTCACCCAAGGACAGGCATCTGCGGGTCCGCCTCCGACAAGAGGCCCGCGGTATCACGATGTAGTATATGTGGCTCTCTGTGCTGTTGTATGTGCATATGTCCCTCATCCGGACTCCTGGGGGGAATGGGTAGTTGTAGAATACCAGGTAGGATCCACATCAGCTGCTTCTGAAGTTGGGTCTCCATGTGGGCTGTGGTGCCCCATCAGATGGTTGCATGTGTCCCTGTTAGGGTGCTTTCCTGTCAGTGTCCACTTCTGCTAGCCGGCTGTTTTTCGTGCAGCCGTTGCTAGTAGAGGCGAACGGCATGGGCCGAGTGCGGGATCTCCCGCCGCAGAGCGGGCCACCACCATGTTGGACCAAGAGCGGCCGTTCCTGCTCACCAGGTACGTGATGCGCCTCCTGCTGGTATCGGGCTGAAGCTGGTGTCACCCTCCGTGCAGTGGCAGTGGGGACTCCGACATTGCAGCGGTCTGTGGCTTCGTTTTTAGCCCTTTCCACGAGCATGGATTTGGAGCCCAAGCGGATAGCGTCCAGTCGGCTCAGCGGCCAGCCCGGCCCCGCCCCTTCCTCCTTTTTTGCTGAACTTTAATATACTCTCACAGATTGTTGTGAATTGTTGATGGATGCTATACCCTGAGATATAACATGCATTGGAAGAAGATAAGATTAACACATGTGCTATTGAAGCAGCAGCTCAGGGCTCATGATTTGGAAAAGGCCCAAATGAACCATAATATAAATATTAAATTTTTTGTTTTTTTTAAGTATTAAGAAATATGCTGCTGCCACTACACTCGACCTGCTGGGTTTTTATATTGTTTCTTAAAGATATTACATTCCCAATACAGTTTGTTCGCACTTCACACACACATTATTCTCCTTCTCAGTTACGGCAGCTCAATCATGGGTCTTACACATACCCACATTACATCCTTACACAGTGATATGTTTAGAATTCAGTCTGTTTTAATCATATGCATTTCTATATTCTCGCAGGCAGCAATCACCTAGTACCCTTCGCAAATCCACAAATATGCTACTCAGTTTCATAATATAATGGCCACAGAAACAAATTTATTTGGGCTTAAAATAGATTTTTAAAAAGAGTATAAAACAACACATATAACCCAACTAATGCAATGATTTATTCTTCAATTAAGAATGCAAATAATAAAATAAAACCCACCAATACATATTTAGCTCTTCTGAACTACGTACCATTACTTTTGTATCACCTTGGGCCAACATCATTCATCAACTGTATGCAATTTGCTCTTGTAATAATTGCTCTTTAACAACACAATTCTCTACACAATACATCAATACGTGTGATAAAAATAGATGTTGTGTCAGTTCAAGACTAGGGAATAAAGTAAAATCTTAAATAAGCACTAAAATCAAATGTTCATTACCCAACATCTGTAATGTGCACCTGTCAAGTGTCATGCCTCATTAGCTAGCAAAATATTCTAATTTTATATATTGTGTAACCAGCATAGGTTCAATAGTTTGATTTCCTGGGTTGCATGCAAATTATATAGTGCATACTACTCAGGTTACACACCTATCAAACAAAAATAGCCCGTATTTAAACAAACTCATGGTAGAATGAAAAAGGTGTAGATTTCAACAACATAGCAAAATATAACCACTCTTTATAGAAGCCTGGATAGTCACAATGTGGATTAATGCACCATTGTGACATATTTAAATGAAATACAATGTAGTTTTGTTTAATTACACCTATCATGCAAAACATAAAACCTAGACTAAATTTTATTTATTCTTGAGAATTTAAGATTGCATAATAGAGTGTTGAAGAAAATTAACAATACTCTCTCATTGAAAACATGGAAGCACCTAGAATGGCTGAAAAATCCCATCCATAGCCTATCTATGCATATGAATTAGAAAAATCTGAAAACAAGTATATCTTTGTCTTACATTTTCAGTTATATAATGGGACTAACTCTTGCTTTGAATGTCTCTATGATTTTTCAACTTCATATTAATAAGAAAGACCCTGGAAGTGGCAGTTGTATGGCCTTTAAGGCCCAAGTTATGGACTACTAATTTAGTGGAAGTCAAAGACAGAAATACACTGGATGGGGAGTTATATTTACTGTGCCCACAGCAATGAATTCAATTTCTTGTACTGTGTTGTTTCCTATAATATATAAAAATAAGGCTATTGTTTCAATATAGCTCAATTCGGATTATATTGTATTATTCTTCCTTGTGCATAGTATAAATATGCCAAACCAACATTCACTGCATCTGAAAATACCAACACCAGTAATAGCAAGCTATTGATGAGAGCAAATATCAAAGCTGCATATCATATAGAGTAGGAGGAAAGGAGAGTGGAGATTAACCCCTTAAGGACACATGACGGAAATATTCCGTCACAATTCTATTTTATTCCAGAAGTTGTGTCCTTAAGGGGTTTAATAAAATAAGTCTATTATCAGCTACTATAGTAAAAAAATACCCTAAATCTAAAGGAATGGTTGCATGTTCAAGCTAACTGAAGCCAGGACAGAAAGATCACAATGAAACGACTGAACGCTAACTAGTGTGCCTATCTATTGAACAGCTGTCTGAAACGGAAAACGAACTTGCAAAAGTTAGATTAAAACCTAGAAAAGATGCAAATCAACTAATGAACTGTAATTTTGAAAGTTAACTACAACGCTTGTAAATGAAATGAAACCAAAGTATGCGAAAGTGAAAAAGTCAGTTGTAAGAAAGATTTATCAAGAAGACAAGGGACATGACATAAATAATATGTTTTTGAGTTCAGAGTGACTAGACTACAAATACTATTAAATCAGCATCACTATCTGTGTGTATGGGCATGCACTTTACGAGGGACCAAGGAAATAGGCAACTTTACATGCAAACCTTCCCTTTAATAAATATTAATAAATATTTGACTTCAGCTTTTTCATCTGTCTTGAAAGTATTTAAAGCAAAAAAAGACCCGATTGTGATGCAGCACAAACATTCCATCAGGAAAGTGTGTTTCACACAAATAAATTTAATTATAACATCAGAATTACCAGACATCTAGGAAATCTGGTTTAAGCCTGACAGCACACAAATGGTTTAAACCAAAGAAAACTGTTTATATATTCGTAAAAGTCTAGTACTTTCATATTTCATTATCCCCAGCATTTTCTCAGATTTTTTTCATTTTATAGTCTGCGTGTTATCATCAGAAAACTAATAATGGCAAAACGGAGCAGTTGATTGGATCACACTGTAATATCCTGGACTACAATGCACATCTCAGATTACAGTTAGTGGTTTGATATTGATCGGTCACAGTCAAATATAGTAGTTTTAGTCTGATGCTACAAATGAATAAAATGAAAAATGGATTGGAAATATAAAAAGGTACCAAACATGCATGCATGCATTCATTCATTTCAATGTTTAATAAAAAGTTAGGATTTAATTTAAGGCCAGCTCTAATAATATTGCTTTATGGACCCTACAAAGTGATGAGCAACAGAGATTAGTGGCTTAATAAAAGTCAAAGCTATAATCATAATCAGAGGCCCAAAAGAGTATATAACAGTTCATAAAAAAAATGAAAATTACTATACCTCCACATTTTTTCTAGGTTTTTTTTTTTCCTGACCTATAATAATTAACCTACTGTTCAAATCATTACCACATTAGCATAGGGGCAAATGGAGCTG